ACTATAATATAGGTCATTTTTTTTTACATTTGTTGATGTGAATTATTTCATCATATATTTATTGTAAACTAAATTTTTATATATTTATAATCTCCCATGAAAATTCAAATATTTATAGAAACTGGTTATTCATAAATTGTATATAAAGGTTATTTTTTGTATTTTTTTTTTTTTAATTTTAATTTACATTATTCAAGAACATCATACATTTATATTATACATTTTTATAATATATATATATATATACACATACAAAAATTAAAATTTATACATTAGTGTGTACATTATTTTTGTTCACTTTATTTTTGCAAAATAAAAAAAAAATCCTGTACAGAATATGTACAAAGGTTTGCAAAGCTTATTATTCTTGTGTGCCAATATTTGATTTTGAATCAATCCAGATATTAAATGCTTCCACCAAAAAAATTAAGGGATTATTTTCCTTATGCATTAATAAATCTTCCATTTGATAATATCATTCAATTTCATTTGAATTAATCCATGATAATTGAAATAATTGAAAAAAAAATAATAATATAAATATCAAAGATGATGAATCTAAATTTTGATGAACTTTATTGAATACAATTTTTTTGAATAAAAAAAATATTATACACATCACTTATTAAAAATATAATAATTAAAATTTATACTTACTAAAGAATAAAATGCCAGGTTTTAAAAATGAGGATCCAAGAATGAAATCTTCCACATCTACATTATTCACACCATCCACACTTTATTTTCTTCATATTCTACTGCCTTTTCTTTTCCCTTTGACATTCGTAACGTACTCTGTGACGATTTGATGGTTGTTATTTTTTTTCCATCTCTTCTCTATACCATTTTTCGATTCTTTCTCCTAATCTCCTCATCACTCTTTTATATTTCTTTGACCTCTTCTCTTTCTTTCTTTTCTTTCTCACTTTTCTCTTTCCTCTTTTATTCCTTTCATAACGGCGATTTCGGCTTTGACGATTTTAACATCGACAATTTCGGAATCAGCGATTTCTCTTTCTTCCTCTTCTCCTCTTCGCAACAGTTAAAAAAGGGACGTCGCTACAAGAAAAAAGAGGGAAGAAGAGGAAGGAACTACGGTGAAATATTAAAAGAGAGGAAGTGGATTATCAGGGTTCCTTTGAAAAAAAAAATAATGATAATTATTTGATAATGATGATTTCATTATTTTATTTTTTATACTATATTTTATAATATTCTATTCTCGTATAGATGAAAAAAAAAAATAGATAATCTTTGAC